CTTTCTAGTGAGTACATTTGGAGGGCTTTGAGACGATCCCAATAATTTAGGTGCTTTATTGCGTCTATGCGTGCCGTATATATTCTCTGTATTCCCTCTATTTCAGCAATCTCTCCTGCTCTGAAGGGGAAAGTGAGTACTGAGCAGTACTCAAGACGGGACAACACAAGTGACTTGAAGAGTACAACCATTGTGATGGGATCCCTGGATTTGAAAGTTCTCATAATCCATCCTATCATTTTCTGGCTGTCGCAATATTTGCTTGGTTATGCTCCTTAAACGTTAGGACGTCAGACATTATTATTCCCAAATCCTTTACATGCTGTTTTCCTACTATGGGTACATTTGATTGTGTTTTGTACTCTGTATTATGTTTAAGGTCCTCATTTTTACCGTACCTGAGTACCTGGAATTAATCACTGTTAAACATCATGTTATTTTCTGATGCCCAGTCGAAAACTTTATTAATATCAGCTTGAAGTTTTTCAATGTCTTCAGCCGAGGTAATTTTCATACTGATTTTTGTGTCATCTGCAAAGGATGATACGAAGCTGTGACTTGTATTTTTGTCTATATCTGATATGAGAATAAGGAAAAGCAGCGGTGCAAGGACTGTACCCTGAGGTACAGAGCTTTTAACTGAACTTAAACTAGATTTTATATGGTTGACCGTTACTCGCTGAGTCCTGTTTGTCAGAAAACTGAGTATCCAGCGTCCTACTTTACTGGTTATTCCCATTGACTTCATTTTGTGTGCTATCACGCCATGGTCACATTTATCGAAAGCCTTTGCGAAGTCCGTGTATATCACATCCGCATTCTGTTTTTCTTCTAATGCCTCAGTGACTTTGTCGTAGTGCTCAAGTAGCTGTGAGAGGCACGATCTTCCCGCTCGAAATCCATGTTGGCCTGGGTTGTGAAGGTCATTGGTCTCCATGAAATTGGTGACCTGACTCCTAATCACTCTCTCAAATACTTTTATGATGTGCGATGTTAGTGCAACTGGTCTATAATTCTTTGCCAATGCTTTTGCTCCCTCCCTTGTGTAGAGGGGCTATGTCTGCTACTTTAAGTGCATCTGGTATCTCCCCCGTGTCCAAGCTCTTCCTCCACACTATACTGAGTGCCTGTGCTACCGGCACTTTGCATTTCTTTATAAATATTGAATTCCATGAGTCTGGACCTGGGGCCGAGTGCATGGGCATGTTTTCAATTTCTCTTTCAAAATTTAGTGCGCTCGTGTTTATATCAGTTATATTTACAGGGGTTTGAATATCCCGCATAAAGAAATTGTCTGGATCTTCCAACTTCATGTTGTTTATTGGAGTGCTAAACATGTCCTTATACTGCTTTTTTAGGATTTCACTAATTTCTTTGTCATCCTCCGTGTATGAACCTTCACTTGTACGAATAGGTCCAATACTGGCAGTGGTTTTTGTTTTTGATTTCGCATATGAGAAGAAATATTTTGGATTTTTCTTTTTTTCCTGAATTGCTTTCTGTTCTAACTGCTTTTCTTCAGTTTCATATGAGTGTTTCAATTTCCGCTCGATTTCTTCAATCTCCCTATTTAAATTATTCCTTCTTTGACGGGAAATTCGTGTCTGCATAAGCAGTTCCGTTATTTTTTTTCCTGCGTTTATAGTGTCGTCTGCGTTCTCTTTCTACGTTAGATCTTTTTCTGGCTTTCCTCAAAGGAACATGTTTCAGACAGACTTCATACGCTTCCGAAGTCAGTTTTTCTATTCCTTCTGTAGGACTTGTGTTACTTAGAACAGTTTCCCATGGAATGTTTGTAAGTTCCCTGTTTATTATCTCCCAGTCTATCCTTTTATTATTAAAATTGAATTTACTGAATAGCCCCTCTCGCTTTATCAACGTTTTAGGTCTATTCTGAGTATTGATGGTCGTTTGCACTTCAATGAGCTTGTGATCTGAGTATGTGGTATCTGATATCGTAATGTCTCTGATAATGTCTTCATTGTTCGTAAAGACCAGATCTAGAATATTTTCATTTCTCGTTGGCTCCGATATCTGCAGATTCAGTGAAAATTTGTCACAGAATCTAAGTAGTTCTCTAATCTGTGGTTGGTTAGGTCCTGATAGATTTCCTGGTATAATATTATTGTTTGCTATTTTCCACCTGAGACTAGGCAAGTTGAAGTCACCTAGGAAGATAATATCAGGTATCGGGTTCTCCAAATTATCAAGGCTATTCTCTATTTTGCTTATCTGTTCTGTGAATTCCTCAGCCGTTGCATCTGGCGGTTTGTATATTAGAATAATCACTAAATTTATTTTCTCTATTTTTAATCCCAGTACCTCTACCACCTCATTTGTAACGTTTAGGAGCTCCGAGCATACAAGGTCTTCCCTAATATACAGACCCACTCCTCCATGTGACATAATTTTCCTATCACACCTGTATAGGTTATATCCTGGAATCCAGATCTCACTCTCTAAGAATTCCCCTGCATGGGTTTCTGTGAAAGCTCCAAATACTGCATTTGACTCCGTGAGGCCATTTATGAACTGTACTTTCTTGTTTGTTCTTGTTTTCAGTCCTTGTACGTTGGCAAAGATGAATGAGGTTACTCTATTGGTGATAGTTTGAATGGGAGACTTTTTCGGCAAGCCCATTATGCGTGGACATAATGAGTTTGTTCTGACCAGTACTGATTGTTGTAGGGCAGTTGTCTGTCGTAGTTGTAGTTCCCTTTCGTTGGGTAATTGTATCTGTAATTCTGGAATGCAAGTGGATCTGGCATCCAGTTCCATACACTCTCCATGCTGCTCCTTTTGAATTCTCTGTCGGTCTGGTATAAAAAATTTATAGAGTTTCCTCCAAATTCATTATCCTGCTTGCTACTCTTTATGTAGCGTTCCGTGCCTTTCACGTGAAAGTGTGGGCAGCTGAGGTCATAGCATTTTCTGTCCTCCAGTGAGGTTTGGCACATGTCAGGATGGAAAAACCTACATATTGATCCAAATCGACACTCACCTTTCCTAAGCATATTTAAACATTCTAGAATCTAGGTGATCTAGAATCTTGGCCAATGGCATGGACAGGCACTACCCTGTGGGGACCTCGCCTCCACAGGCCTCCATGTCTTCAACCAATCAGAATCAGGCTTGACCATAAGGGTCAATTCCTCTTGACAAAAAACTCTAGTAACTGGGAAAGCACCAACAACTTTTCTGTGGGAAATGCCGGCTGGGCACCCATGTGTAACTTGAGAACACAAGTTTATTGGCCCTGAGGTACTAGTTCCAATTTGTCACTGGAAAGATGAACAGGAGAGAGAGGGGAACAAGTAACTACAAACTGTTTATGACCACGAGGGTCAGACTGTGACGAATGAGAGGGGTGACCAAAGGGAGGGAAGGCAAGCAAGGGCAGGGAAGGGGAAGAGGAAGGGGAAGGGGGAAGGGGAAGGAGCTATGGTCTGCACATACCATTACATGGGAAGTCCACTCCTTGTCCCATGACCTGTGTTTTCTTCAGGTTGATGGTGAGTTCGAAAGCCTGACAGGCCTCACTGAAATGGGTCATGAGGCGTTGGAGGTCTTCGGCTGAGTGGGCGGTGACTGCTGCGTCGTCAGCAAACACGAAGTCACGCAGACACCTCAGCCGAACCTTTGTCTTGTCTCTCAGTCTGGTGAGGTTAAAGAACTTTCCATACGACCTGGTCTGGAAGCGGATGCCTTTCGTGGCAAATCCAAAGGCGTGCTGCAGCATAACTGCGACGATGACCCTGAATAGGGTTGGAGCCAGGACTCAGCCCCACTTTACTCCACTTCGGATGTCGAAGGCGTCTGATGTAAAGCCATCAAAGACCACGGTGCCCTTCATGTTCTCGTGGAAAGATCTGATGATGCTGAGGAGCCTGGGTGGGCATCCGATCTTAAGGATCTTGAACAGGCCATTCCCACTGACGAGATCGAAGTCCTTCGTCAGATCTATGAAGGCTACGAAGAGTGACTGAACCTAACATTTAACTATTAACTGCACTTAATTATCTGCACTTAACCTATGTAGTACTAATTCTACAAAATACCTTAATACTACAAAATACTTTAATCCTAACAGCTGCTTTATAAGCATCAGTGTTCCTTTTCATTGTGATTGACTCTGGCATTGCTCTCATGGCTCAGGAGTCTTTTTAACCTTTTCCATTCCGTGGAGGTCGAAATCCAATACTGGCTGTTTTTTGCAGATTTAGGACCGCGAATTTTGCAGCCATAATGGAGTTATCTTGAATGAACTTTTGGGACACCACTGTTATGGATGCCATTCGTACTTTTTCTGAAAAAGGATTACATATTCGGATTTCTTCCCCCATTCATTGACTCCACAATCTTCCACCTTTGGTCTGGCACCATAGGCACCACACCACAACAAACTGCACATTCTTGAAGGTGATCTTATCCCCAGTGACCTTCGTTATTACACCATAGAAGATAATGAGAACTAGCTCTGGCTGGGTTGTGTATCAGCACTGCTCCTTATTATCTAGCTTACTCACAGTCGTGCACTTCCTTGCAGAATGTCCAGGTACTCAGGATGGTCTAGGTTCCTCTTGTCCCTCCGGGTTGCTTCTTCCTCCATACAATGCTTGGTGAATCAGGTAATTTTGATGTTGCTCATCCTGTGTCCTTTTAATCTCGCATTTGCATCCTGAATGATATTTAGTTTAGTTATTTGAATAACCAATGGCATGGTGTTCCATAGTCTTCTCGGCTTGAAACCCTCTTTTGATAATTACTTAGTACTTTTCCAGAGGTCGCGAGGCCTACATTATAAGTGTGAGGCCGCCATGATGACTGCCGGACCCACACCGGGGTGGTGGTCGGTGTAGTGGAGCCACACATCAGACGGCACTATTCTTAAAAATTGAAGGCACACTGCAAAATGCCTATCAGGTATATGTGATGCACTAGTGATCCAGGGTGAAGGAGCCGTAGCAAGTGTGGTGGTAATGATGAGTGTGACGTTGCAGGTGAGTGAGAGAGAGCGGGCGGCAGTAGAGGCATGGCTGGCCACAGGAAAACACTTCCACGTGATGAGGGACCATCCCAGCCACGACGCGCAGATCCTGGGTGGCATGTGGGGGGCTCGCTGGGACCTGGGCAGCGACCCCCGCCCTCACACCGCCCACGCCCTCGCCGCCCTCAGGGACACCATGCTCAGGGAGGCGCGCGGCCAGACACAGCGCGGCCAAGATCAGAAAATATTGGGGGTGAGTACACTATTTATGTGGGGGGGGGGGGGACTTGTGAGATGTATATTTATTTAATTCATATTAATGTATATAATAACTTATATATTACGTTAATTGACATTTTTTGAGAGCCAATTGTATGATGGTTTACAGTGGACTGTATTTCTTAAAATTCCCATAAACCTATTTCCTTACACATTATGGAGGGGTTTATGGTTTATATGTGCTTAATAAAAATTATTGATTAGCAGACATTCACCATATATATATATATGTCGTACCTAGTAGCCAGAACGCACTTCTCTGCCTACTATGCAAGGCCTGATTTGCCTAATAAGCCAAGTTTTCATGAATTAACATATTTTCTCAAATTTTTTCTTATTAAATGATAAAGCTACCAATTTCATTATTTATGAGGTCAATTTTTTTTTTTATTGGAGTTAAAATTAACGTAGATATATGACCGAACCTAACCAACCCTACCTAACCTATCTTTATAGGTTAGGTTAGGTTAGGTAGCCGAAAACGTTAGGTTAGATTAGGTAGTCGAAAAAATTCATGAAAACTTGGCTTATTAGGCAAATCGGGCCTTGCATAGTAGGCCGAGAAGTGCGTTCTGGCTACTAGGTACGACATATATATATATATATATATATATATATATATATATATATATATATATATATATATATATATATATATATATATATATATAACTGAAAACTCACATCCCAGAAGTGACTTGAACCCATACTGTCAGGAGCAACGCAACTGGTATGTACAGGATGCCTTAATCCACTTGACCATCTCGACCGGACATAAGGAGGTGATAGCCGAAGCTATTTGAACCACCCCCTTGCCGGCACCCGGATGATAATCTTGGGCATAGCATTTTATCAAATCACCTCATTCTTTGGGGCACACGTGAGGAACACATATGTGAACAAGCCTGAATGGACCCCAGGACTATATGCGACTGAAAACTCCTCAGAAGTGACTCGAACTCATGCTATGCCCAAGATTACCATCCGGGTGCCGACAGGGGAGTGGTTCAAATAGCTTCGGCTATCACCTCCTTATGTCCAGTCAAGATGGTCAAGTGGATTAAGGCGTCCTGTACATACCATTTGCGTTGCTCCTGGCAGTATGGGTTCGAGTCACTTCTGGGGTGTGAGTTTTCAGTTGCATATAGTCCTGGGGACCATTCAGGCTTGTTCGCTTATATATATATATATATATATATATATATATATATATATATTATATTGTTGGGGTTTCACCTCTCTTCACTCTAGTCTGGGGTGAGCAATAGTTATGCTCAAGATCACTCACCGTAGCCCTGCGGGTCTTCACTCGATCCTCACGGCGCCACTGCACGCCAGGAGAGTCTCCCAGTCAATCTCGACGGCCTCTGATCAAGAAAGAGTGAGAACACGACTGTTCACTAGACTGTCATGTGCCCTCCCCAACAATCGGGCTCTACGGTAAACCACAAGGTCGCCAACTGGTGTTTTAGGTGGCCAGTAACACCATCAGTGGACTGGTGGAATTAGTGGTAGCCTTGGCAAGGTCACACTCAAAAGATCAGGAAACAGGCAGGTACTTATTGTTATCACTCAATGCTTTCAGTATAATGTAGCCACAAGATCAATGGAGGGAATGATAAAAACACAAAGGTAATTTTGTATTTTACTTAAAATGTATGAAAGATGTCACAAGGCCAAACAATAACAAATAAATCAATTGATCCTGACGGGGCCGGTAATTCCCACGAATAGTCTGCGATCACTAGATGGCAACACCTCCCCCTCCTCATCAAGTGTCAAGAACAGCTGATCGCCTGGCCCGCGCGCGGAAGCTCTTTGCTTGTTTTCTAGATTCACGCGCGCTGTTTCTTTAAATTCTCCAATATTACTATGAACTCGCACACACGATATTGGCTACAATATCACGTATCACTTGGTTACACTGTACTCAGGCTCAAACAGTCTTTTCTACAATCAATGCTACAATGACTCACAGTAATGGCTTTACATTGTTCTTCACTCAACAATATATTATGAACTATTAACACTGGAGTTTTCAGTACTTTCTCTCGTGGGCGATAACGCAATAATTCACTGTACTCACAAATGAATAGTCACTGCATGAACATAGCACATATAATGTAGATACATCAAATATCAATACATGGAAAATAAATGATTTCTGGGCACACAGCCTAACTTTCAAATACTGGCATAATATTATATATAATTTACCACTATGTGTTCATATCAAAATCTATAAAAAGATATACACAACACAGTAAATTTATCACTTGTTCCTGGTGCCTGTACACACCAATAATCAACATGAATATTACAAGTACTCTTGATAGTACTGTCTAGCACACTGGTGCTTTACCGTGACATGGGTGAGACTTGCTCACGACATATAAAATCCTCAGGCTAGATAATATAGCCGAATAATATAGCTAACTAAAGGGGAATAGGGAGGGAACTAGAAACACCTACTTCACCCTATCATCCGATGAGAGTCGAGATGTAGCTCCTGGTCCTCGTGTCGGGAACGCCCCCACACTACACGTCGTCGTGTCCTACCAGAGCCTCTCGTCGTCCCACCGTTTAGCGCGTCGTCTCCGTGCCTCCTCACTGCAGGTCCGTCCTCCTTCTTAACTTCTTGAAGGTTGGAGTCGGTCTCCTGGCCGTCGTCTTCTCCCATAAACGGCTGTGCCTACGTCTCAGCTACAGTCGTCCGGTTTCCCCAAATAGTCCTCTCTTCCTCAGCTACCCAGTGGCTCTGTCTGCCACTACGCTGTCACGAATGGTGAATTGCCACAGATGGCCCCATACGTCACTGCACGGCTTCACTGCTTCTTGCACAGCACCTGACTGGAGCACTGTTGCTCAAATAACCGTAAATTCCCTCTTCTGGTTCAACACATGAACTAGGGAAGACTTCTCAGAGTACTGGCGGACTTCAGGTGAGGCGTAAATCCACGGGAGCGGGGAACAACTGTCCACCTGACAGGACCAACCGTCGCACGTCCCGACCTCTATGACGTGTGGTGGTCGACTGCTGGCGTGAGCCCGGCTCGCGGGCCGGACCCACTTCCTTCGTGACGTCACTTTTCGCTACGGGAAGTTTTCATTGGCTCACCGGTGCCACATTGCTGTGCGGCCTCCGGTGACAATCCGGTGCCACTGACGTCACACGGTTTTGGCGGGAGATCAGGGAGGCCAGCGCCATCTTGGTCCCTAAAGGGCCTAAACCACAGGCCAAAATATTACTATTTCACAAATTTCTCGGCTCTCCGAGAACACTTCACTATCTCCATATATCAAATTGTAGCCTGCAACGTAGAGAACGCTTGGGAAAAGTAGACATGACTCTTACTGCAGGCGGCGTGGGAGAATGATAAGGGGGGGAACTCCGTCACATACCCCTCCCCTTAAAATAAGAGTCATGTCTCGTTAGTGTATGCGGGATAGGGCGTCCGCTACTACGTCGTCCTTCCCCTTGATGTGCTTGACCTGATCCTTGTCAGACTCTCAGTGCGGGTGAGACTGGTGCCTTCCGCCCTGGACACTTACTTTCCTCCTCCGGGAGTTCTCGGTCCCCTGTACATACAGACCCGTCTTCCGCTGGGTTTCTCGGGTATCCGTTCCGTCCTGCTTTGGCGGCTCTTCCTTCCACAGTGAAGAAAGGTCTCAGGCGGTCTACGTGACACACCTGTTTCTTCCGGGGTCCATCCGGCTTCCCAATCTCGTACGACACTGGACCCAACCGTCGCAGGCAATCGGTACGGTCTCTTGAACCGCGGCTTGGTCACTCTACCTTTACCGGGCAGCACAACCATTACTTGGGATCCGGCCTGAAAATCCCTCTGCGCAGCTCTCCTGTCGTACCACTCCGACATCTTACGTTGCGCCTTCTTCAGGAGTTTCCTAGCCAGTCCCTTCGCTCGAGTGAGACGTTCTTGAACTTCTGGACATATTTAATCACCGTTCCCACGGTCGCTCCTGGGTGTCCATCGTTCCCTCATCATAGATAGCATGGCATATATAATATAGATAAATGGAAAGTAAGCCTTCTCAGGACCCACACGTCCTCCTTCGGCCTTACTAACCAATTCGGGGGAACTCCTCCTGCTGTCTGTAACCTCCGAGACGAATGCGGTTTACCCCTGGAGAACTGGTGGAGGTCACCTGCAACTCACCATTCGGGCTACTCTCGCCCTCCGCTCGTTCTCTGGGTCCTACGCAGAGGTGATCTGTTCCAAGACTGTCAGTCGTCTCCTCAGCCCCATCAGATCCACAACCTCCTTGTTCTTCGCGTTTTGCTCGGTGTCACAGTACAAACGGGGATCGCCACTGGTACGATTCCCTTCTCGTCCCCACAGACGTTTAACTCTCCGCCTGTCTTCTCGTACTGTTCTGTGCACTCTTCGCCTTTCACGAGATGTGGGAGGACGTATCCTCCACATGCGTCATTCCCCCAAGATGACCTGTGCCTCCATCTTGGGCATTGATGTACAGACTCCCACCACTAAGGTCTGGCACCCATAATCGGAATCCAAAGTTACCTGGTGTAGGGGCATCCTCACTGGGCCCTCCCACAGTGGTCACACTTGCCACCCCCACACTGGTACTTTCGTAACCTTCGGGGAACAGGGTCTCACTTACCAGGGTAAAATCGGCCCCGGTGTCTCTTAGCATCTTCACTGGGATGGGGTCTGCGACCCCCATCCTAACGGTTCCTTGACACATGAATGGGTGAACTTTCTTCTCCCCATTCAGCACGGGTTCATCCCGCACTCCCTCGGCCCTCTGGTCCTCGAACATCACTAAAGAAACGTGTCCCCGCTGCTTAAACGCGTCTGCATTCCCGCGCGACGTGTCCGGGGATTCCGCAGTTGTAGCAGCGGCCCCTCGGCGGAGACCATCCACCACCGCTCGCCTTAGCACTGCCTCCAGAGGCCGTCGCACTCTGTGTTCTTTCTCGCCTCACTTGTC